GGGAGCCCTACCTGTACACAAAAAACAACAGACACGATGACTTAAAGAGTCCAATGATCATCACCATCATCATCATCATCATCATCATCATCATCATCATCATCATCATCATCATCATCATCATCATCATCAGCGTCATCATCGCCATCATCATCATCATGATCATCATCATCATCATCATCATCATCATCTACATCGTCAGCACCAATAGTCTCATAACAACAATAACCATCATCATCATCATCATCATCATCATCATCATCATCATCATCCTCGTCGTCATCATCATCGTCGTCGTCATCATCATCGTCGTCGTCATCGTCACCATCAGGAGAAGCAACACCATCGCGATCGCCATCTTCGGCACAGGCACCTGCACGTGTCTGCGGCTTCGGTGACCTTGGGTGTGACTCTGCTACTGTATGCAGCCTGAAGCCTCGCTGAAGCCCGGAATCTCAACCCGAATGTAACACAGATCTCGTTCAGTGTCTTCAAGCGATGCTAAATTGGATCCTTACTTCCTTGAAGCTGCGCCTGTGCCTAAGGCTCGGACATCATCCATGACCTTCAGCTGCGCAGCTCCGAGCTTAATGAGGACCCTCGAACCCTACACCCCACACTGCGCACTACAGGAGTCTCCTCTTGAATTACAAGATGATATACTCCAATTCCCATTCCCTATTCCAAGTGTTTCAGGGCCCGAAGACACGCTGTAAAGATGCCTTTTCACGGAACTCTGTTCTACACATTCAGGCTCCTATCCGAAGTTCAGGGTTCTGGCCGCTGGGCTTGTTCGGGCTCATGAAGGTACGGATTTCAAAGGGCGGTAGGGTGTAGGAATTAGAGTAGAAGCCACAAAGTTGTAACATCATTCTCAATTCTCCTCATGACCTTAAGGTAAAGCACAGGGAATCCCAGCACTAGTCATCCTAAACCCATGTTCCCACCCTCTGGGGTTCGCTATCGGAGGAAAAGTAATGTAGGTGCCTTAATAATTTGAATAGGGTTTTGGTGTATATTATACTATGATTATAATTATTAATAAGGAACCCCCAAAATGGTGTTGGTATCTATTTAGGTCCCTATATTATCAGGCTAGGGGTTCAGCCTGCAAGGCGGAGCCCCAAGAAAGTCCAACCACCAAAACTCGGTCACAGTACTGCTCTCCTATAAGCGTTCCTTTGCAGGGTATCCGTAAGGGTTACTATACAGGTTTCTGTCCTGGATGACTGGAAAGCTCTCGGATTTCTTCCGATGGGGCCGTGGCGAGGTTTCGCTCGCCGTCGTAGTTCTCCACCATCCAGTTCACATCCTTTTGAAGCTCCTGCGAGGGCTTTCAAGGGTTTCAGGTTTAGGGATTTGGAGCTTTGGGCTGTGGGCTTTGGGGTTTGGGTTTGAGGGTTTGGGCTTTCAGGTTTAGGATTTGGTGGCTTCGGGGGCTGAGGTTTTGGCCAGCTTTGATTGCGGTGATCAAAGCAACCGAGAAGCCTCGAAAGCCTAACCCTGGGAACTGTGTGAGCCCACAGAGCATCCTCGAAGCTTAACCTAATCACCCCGGATAGCGGAGATACTGTCTCATTCCGCTATGCTTCTTCTAGCCCCTCACCAAGAACTCGAGATGTCTCGCTTCCTGCCACTCCCGGCATTGCTTGTGCTACCATGACCAGAACCAAGTCGAGTATCCTGGCCAAGGAAAAAACCATGCTAGGCCCAGTCCTCGACATCAATCCCCAACCCCTGAACCACCAAAGCCATGGTCCTCCCCAGCTCCAAAGCCCTAAATTTGAATCTTACTAACCCCTAGCCAAAATTGTGAAACCATCTTCTGCCGAAGCCGCAGCAAAACCCGAGCCACACAAAATCTAGCACCCTATTTCCAGCTATGACATCTTTTAGAATGCTATAGCTCCCACAAATCTTTTTAAAGCCCTCTAAAATCCCTTGAAGATCTCTTCACCGTCTGTGATGAGACCCTTTGATTTGACACCTCACAAAGCGCCATAAACCCGCCTGAATTTCAATTGGTAGGACCTTTACAAAACTCTAAACCCTAAACTCTAACCTGTTGGAAACCGTTAAAGACCTCTTGAGCGTCCTTGGAGGGCGGTCCACGAGGACCCCGCCGGTTAAAGCCCTTGGACGGGCCCGGCGCCGGGGCGGCCTCTATGCTCCAAGTTAACAAAGTAGAATGAAGGTTTTCTTAAGGTCTGTATATCGGCAGAAACAGCCCTGCTTTAAGGGCTTGAACAAGGGTCGCGCCGGTGCGAGGTTGTTAAAGGGGCTTCTCAGATTGCAATTAAAATTCATGACGGGGCCGGAACCCGACAATTTCGACCAGAGTTTAGACCGGCGTTTGGGGGGGGGGGGGGGGGGA